CACTTCTGGGGCTGGCCTCTCCACCATGAGACCTGTAACGGGTCTGTGAGGAGGAGCCAGAACTCCTCCAGCTGTTGGAAACTCCAGAGTTTTGGCTTAAAACCACCCAACTGAAAAACTATGAGGCCAGCCCTGAAACTTGCTGCAGCTCCGCAGGAACAGCCCCCGTGTGCTGCTGAGCTAGGAGATGCCAGCAGAGTTGTGCTTGTCAGTTTCTCAACAAAGCCAGAGTGGTTTTGGACCTTGTGGAAGTCGCTCCCATTGCTCTTCACTTCCCACTGGAAGCTTCTCTCCAGCCTGAGCTGGTGGGACAGGGATGGGAACATGGATTGGAGCTGCAGAGAGGCAGGGACTGCCCGGGGGGAGCTGGCACCACAGGGCAGAGGGGCAGAAGCAGGGCACAGCCAGGGGCCACGTTTTATTTTACTTCTGTGCCAAACTGCTGTACAAAGCCACCACGCAGGGGCTGGAGTGGGACATGAGCTGCCCAGATCTGTGTGGGGACAGATTGGGGCCGGGCAGGGCCAGCTCTGCTCTGCACCATGGTCACCCCACAGTCCTCATCAGCCACGCAGGTCCCCAGGGGTTTGTGTCAGCCCCTGTCCCCCGGCTCCCCCGTGGGCGCTCTCCTCTGCAGAATGTGCTCCAGCAGGAACGTCGCTGCCTGGACCAGGACCTGCTCCAGCCTCTCCTGCTCCCCAGCACTGAACGGAGCCAGGACGTAGCTGGACACTGTCACTTCACCCTCCGGCCGTCCAATGCCGACCCTGAGCCGGGTCATCTCCTGGGGAGGAAGAGGGAGAGCTGGAGGAGCTTCACCTCAAGGGCCCGTCTGAGACAGAGATGGGGCAAGGGGACAGTGCTGCGAGTGGAGCTGGGCAGTGAGGGAGCAGCTCCTCATGTTCTCCAGGTGGTTTTGAGTGCTTGCTCCAAGAAACATGATTTTGGAAGAGGCTTTTGCTGGGCTGTGCTGAGATCCCAGGCTCCTGCCAGGCTTGGCAGAGCCGCTCAGGCTAATTGTTTCCATGTCTTCCACGGCAGCCAAAATGACAACAGCCCTCAGGAAAGCAGAGGGAAGGAGGGGAAGGAGAAAAGGGAGGAGAGGAAAGGGAGCAGGGACTTGTCTGAGGGGAGTTGGAAGAATGGAAGTGAGGGAATGACAAGCCATGCACTGAGGTGTGGGCAGGACTGATCCCCTTCTACCGAGGCCCACTCACGTTAGAGTGCAGAGCACTGATGCAGGATCGGACCCCGTTGTGTCCCCTTGGGAGAGAAGGAGAAAACCCACTGTTAGTCTGTAAGAAATCACCTCCTGCCACAGAATGGTCTTGGGGTCCCTCACTGCAGGGACTCGGGGATGTGGTCCCAGCCAGGTGCTGCAGCTCCCATGCCCTGGCTCTGCAGGAACATCCAGCCCCTGGGGCTGAGAGCAGCTGGCTGGGGGGGACGAGGGAAGCAGGGCTGGGACAGCACGTTCTGTGTGTTTCAGCTCTCGCTGCAGCTTGTGCACGTGTGATGGAGTACTGGGGCCCAGTGCCATCCCTGTCCTGTCCTGCAGTGGAAGATTTCCTAGGTTAAATGTCTTGAGGCTGACCCAGGAGCTGGCACTGGGGCAGGCAGAGTGCTATAAAAAGCCTGTGTGGTGCAGCCGACGGGCTGGATCCAGCCCACAGCTGCTTCCTGGAGGCTCCCTGCCAGGGCAGGAACCAGGAGGCTGCCCAAGCAACCATCCATCACCTCTGCAACTGGGATCAGGCATAGCACTGGGGCTGAAAACATCGCCAGGCTGGTGGGACGAGGCCAGGAATGGCCTGTGTGCCTGTAAGG